TGTTTTCATCAGCTCCAACCCACAGCCAGGAAAGTGAAAGATGAGCATAACCATTTCCCCTGGGCTACCACCAGCCAGGCCTGCTGAAGAAAAGAGCCCTCTCACATCCTGTACCTCTGCCACAGCTCTCTCCATCTCCAAGGAACCAGAGTTGAGCAGCACCCTCATCTGCCCAGCCCCAACTATTCCCCTCAGCTGTGGTTCATGCTTTCCTCTCAGGCACTGTGTCTCTTCTGTTTGTCATACACATATAAGGAATCTAAAGGGTTTTTGGGAAAAGTGATGTTAAAATTTTGCTGCAACCTAGAAATGGTTGGTGCTAAACTAAAACTATTTCCCGAAGAAATAGCAGCATGTAGGGTTGACCTTGTTCTTATTGCTAAGGCAGACAAATGTTCAGTCAGCACTGCTTCTCCAGTCAAATAATGACCAGGTAAAATACAAGCTGGTGGACTTTTGGAAATAGGCAAAACGTAACTGCCAAAAAATGTCATTTTAAATGGAGAAAAAGGTGAAAGTTAATAATGCTTCTTTGTCCATGCTCAAACTTTTAAACTACACCTCCTCCTCTATCACAAATTCTGATTTCTCAAAATGCTCCCATCTGGGCTCTGCCAGTTTTTCTTTCTTTCAGCCCATTGTCAGTTTTCTCTTACACCTCTTCACCGCAGGAGTTCTGCACGTGAGGACACTGTGCCATCAGTCTAGTTTATTTGACTATCCTTAGTGTTATGTCCATTTTGAGAGCAGGTAGAAGTTCTAAGATAGAGAGTGTCACTACCAAAAAATGTAGAAAAACAGTCCATGTAAATGCACAGAACTCAAGAGTCTTTCAAAACTGGATTCTTACTTGTAGGGAGACACCTAGCCTTTGTACCCAACTATGATCACAAGATCTCCAATTTTTTAAAATGAAATCTTTCTATTCTTTCTCAACAAAAATCTTCATAATTTCCCTTAAGTGGAAAACACTCAGATTTCCTCTTTGTAGTCCCCAAACCGGCTTAGTTATTTTTCCAGATCCTGGAATTTCTCAAAGATGGTAAGTATCCATAACAAATCTGATCAACTAATTAAGCCTTCCTGGTTTTACCAGCAGTCACAGTTTCTACAGCACTAAACTCATGCCTGTGCCCGGGAAATTACATTTCTTAAGGCTACATTAAATTAATGAAAACAGTTTGGAGAATCATAAGCTCTTAAAACTTTAAAACCATTTCAACTCAGTCAGACAGAGCTTGGGTTGAGGATTCTCAGATGTGGAGCTCCCTGTACCTCTGCTCACCTGCTGGACCAATGCCAACCTATGAGCCAGTGGAATATGCAGTTTGTAGTTACTGCATCTCCAGATGATTACCTAAATAAAGCCCAACCAGCAAAATAAAGCTTTATTTTTCGTTCAAAAATAGGAAGGTCTGCACTTTTGAGAAGGGCCTGGTTATTCTGAGCAAGAGTCTTGAAATACAGTCTTTATTTTAGATGTCCCTCATATCGCTTCACTAGTTGCAAAACAATATTAATAAGAAGAAGTTCTGGAACAAGAACACTTCATTTTCATTAGTCAGTACAAATGATCTTCTTAGTACTCTGCTTCTGACAGATCTTGGGTTTTCAGCTAACAAGCACCAAAACCTGTCTCACTAGCATTGAGCAATAACATCCTGAATGATCACAGGAACTCATTTATCATTAAAAAGTCATATTTCAAAATCAGCTGCCGTATCATTTGGCACATTAAAATAATTGTATTATATTTAACCCCTCAATAACTCAACTACCTAATTCATTTCCAAATTGTATCTTCCCTTCTCCAAGGCTTTCATTAGGCTGACAAATATCTGTGCCAGTATGTGAGCTCTAAGTTCCTTGGAACAAATGGTCTTCTTGCAATGTTATTGCCAGTTGATGGCAGAAGTGGGATGAGCCATTTGTTTGCTTTGTGAGGCTGGCTTTCATTGTCCTGAATTCAACACTAATATCTTGATAATCCTGCATTTAAATCTATGGACACTAATGCGCCCCTTTTTGGATCTTCTCACTGAAGCATCAAAGGCTTAGAAAGGCTGACAATAATTTCCCCATCTGTAAGGTTCACAAAAAAAATGAGGATTAAAATCTTTACAGTGGATAGGTTGTAAATGATATATTTCTCTGGACATTACTATGAGTAATTCTGCTTTACTTGGAGTGCTATGATCCAAAGTCAGAAAAAGATTAAAGGATTCATTTCCTTCTTGATTCATTATTGCACATTTTGTTCTTTTTTTCTTATGTTTCTACTCTGTTTATGTACTAAAAATGTTTTATTCATGGATCCTTACATAATTGTCCATGACCATGGCACAAGATACATTCAAATGCCTTGACATTTCAAATATACATCTCATTTCATCCTGTTTAGGATTACATAGACAATAACTGCATAATGTTCTTGTACACTAATGGTATGACACCAAAACAATAAAAAGTACTAGTTCAAATTTTGCAGCATAATACTTTCCTGTTGCAAAATGTTCAGAAGATTGGGCTCGTTGCTCTACAAGGCTCTGTTTGGGAATGACTTTTGCCCAGAGTTTTTTCACTTTTCTATCTTTCATACCCATAAAGTTAAAAGAGAGAAGGGGGAGGGGAGCAGGAGGAAAGAGTAGAAATCCACATCAAAATTTTCAAGGGATTGTAATACCTCTCATTGACAGCTTTTTCATCACAATGCCAATTGTGATCAGTATAAAAGTTATTTTTGCCTGGATAAGAATTTGCAGTGCAGTTGGAACGACACAGGAATCTTCTACAGCACTCATACAAATGTATAGTCATAGCATACAATAAACCCTCTAATTAGTTCAGATATGACATTGCTCTCTATCCCAATTTAGTGGTAAAGTTAAGGGATGATGTGTGCTTGTTTTGAATACATTAGACACTTTGTTCTGATCACATTCTATGCACATTTCACAGAGGAAAATACATCTGCTCCACCAGTGATATAAAATTGGTATTTCCTTAGGGGTGTGTAAAGTGTGTATAAATCTCTGGATCTGCCTGAGATTTGCATAGATGCTGGTACGTAGGTCACTGGTGCACTTAGTTTTCTCTGTCATCTGGGAGTAATGCTGGTTAGCTCTCAATGCCGCAAGGAGATCATAGACATTTTTTGCTTACATGTGTAGAGCTTTATTCTGTTGTGCATGGAGGTCTGTGTTGCATTCCTAGTTTAGCTGTCTTTCTACATATTTAGAATTAAAAGCTGACTTTGTATGGTATTGCTGGCCATTGTTTATGCACCCAGATTAGTTTCACCTTTTATGTTAAATTAATAATTCACATATTTTGTCCATCAATGAATCATAACAAGTCTGTATGTTGAAAATATTTGTCACAGCTCATAGAAAAAGACCCTTTTGTATAGCTTATTGTCTTATACTAGCTCACTTTTTTCTCAAGACATTCCCCCTGCAGCAATCCCCACTGTAAGCCATTAGCTGTGCACATCTGCCCACTCTAATGACCACTCCAGTGTACACATACCTGACTGCCATCTAATTTAGACATCACCCATAGGACACTAATATTAATGTCTCTGGGGCCAGCTAAGTCCTGGATTATTGACTGGCTACAGTTATCACTTCATTTGGTCTTTGGAGGTGAACCAAGCACACCTGAGGTCATAAATAGGTCAAATGATTATACAGTTTGCAAAGGAATCAAGTATTTTTGTTACCCTAACAAGAACCAAAAATATACTTTCTAATTTGTTTTGACAGGGAATCCAATTGCTTTGCCTTCATGCAATGTCCCCTTTGTGTAGCTATGAAAATGCAGCCAATTAGGCATAAAATTCTTTTTCCATATGAGTAGCAAGTTAAACAAATTGATGCCATTTAAAATTAACACAAAAAAAAGAAAGAAAATTGATGGTATCAAATATCTGATAATCAATCTTTTATTTTATAAAGAAAAGAAAAAGGAAGAAATCAGAGCTGCTATTTTTAATTAAAGTAGTAAATAGATATGTGATAAACAGCCTAAACAGTTGTAGGGAGGTAAACACACGGAGAAGAAAGAGCTATTTAAGATAAAGGAAAATGGTGGCATGAAAACAAATGGGTATAAATTGTTCCTGATTATGTAAGACTGGATTTAGAAGACCATTTTGAGCCATTGGAAGAGAGGGTTCCTGAACAGCCCTCTAATTAATATTAGAGTGGGGAAAAAATGTATAATTTGGGTAAATTATAGCTCGATAAATAAATTCTATAACCTGTTTTCATCTGAGAGCAAGGGATTGCACAAAGTAATCAAGGATTTCCCTTTCAGTCCAAATTTGTGAAAATTGTATTTGGACACTAGGCCAAATTCAGATCTGTTGCAGAAAGCACAGCTCAAGAGATATTTGTGCCACTACATATTTTTACATTGAAAGCAAATCCACTTCTCTCTAGAAAAGGAAGAAATCACCTTCTTCCCAAACATAACAGACAAATTTGAGTTAATACCAGTTCTGAATTTGGCCCCTTGTGGAACAGATTCAAATGTTCACATTTGTAATGGAAGCTGTCCGGCAAAGCACCCTTTGGGATAAATACTCAATTGTAGCAAGTAAATGTGACAGAACAGAAAATTCTGGGGTTTCTTCTTCTATGGACACTTATATGCATATGAATCTAGTGGAAAAATTGAGGTAGTGAGGACCACCTTAGGATGCAGCCTGGATTTTGCCCGCTATAGATTTATGAGAGAAGATAAAATATTTTTGTACAAAAAAGAGAGTGGTTGAACACACACAAAAATGTAAATTTTCACATAAATCAGCAAATCTACTCAAGAGCTGAGTGGGCTTGATCCTATACATCTCCAACCCTATTTGCCTTCAATGTAAGCTTAGCATTTACAATCAATATTTATAAATGGATCCATGCCAAGATGCCTGCACTAAAAAATGTAAGTGGATACTGTATTACAACATTTTGGTAAAAACAGATAAAGGAAAAGTAATGTACCAACTCTTCTGTCCATTTATTTTTGTTTGTTTCAGGGTAAGAAGCAGATACATGGCTTTCTTCAACCAAATCGCTACAAAAACCTGTATTACAGCAAAAAAGGTCGATGATATAAAACTATGTGCTTTCTTTTTTAAGTGTGTTGCTTTCACATGTTACCAACTATTGTACTAAACATTGTGTAAAATCCTAGGAAAGGATAGTCATTTATAGACATTCTTTTATTAGGTGTTTCTCATTGTATGAAGAGCCATCAGTGATCTGCCCCTCGCCTGCCTTTGACTTTGGATGAAAGTTGGCAACTGCTTAAGTATCAGCACGAGAGAGGATGAAGAAGGCAGCTGTCTGTTCCACTGATCCTCGGGAGAGCTCAGCAAGATGTGTCAAGACACTCAGGAGCCGTTCCAAATGTGGAAATCTCCCTTGCTCTCATCACACACAGCAAGCACGCAAGTACCACAATAGATGGGGAGTGATGAGGCTTTAAAAAAAAAAAAAGATGAAGAGGAGTAATATTGTTACAAATAGCAGCTGCATCCCCAGAGTACCACTGCAGCTCAGAGAACTGTTGTTCTGGGAATGGCTTTGCTATTAGTACTAAAAATTAAGCAGTCTCACTAGATGTGACTAACAGTTTTTAAACTGACAAAGTGTTTCATATACAGTAGCTCTGTTTCCCAATTCCATTTCCTCATTAACCAAGCCAGGAAAAAAATGACTGCACTAATTAGTTCTCTTTCAGCTTTTTTTTCTTCTAATTACACTGGCTCCCCTCCCCCTGCCTGCATATATCAAAAAATGTCACCAGCTTGGGGGAGAGATTTGTGCAAGCCCTGGCTAAAGGATCAGGACCAGAGCTGGAGCAAGCACTGATTCATTCCTTCTCCTACACAACAGGAACACCAGAGATGGAAACCTGTTCTGAACATCAGATCCAATGCAGTGGTTCAGCATCCCTAACCATTTGTACTGGTTTTGGCTTCAGTAGAGTTAATTTTCTTAATAGTAGATGGTATAGGGCTGTGTTTTGGATACGTGATGAAGACAGTGTTGATAACACAGGGATGTTTTAGCTAGCTGAGTGGAGCTTATACAGAGTTGAGGCCTTTTCTGCTTCTCACCCCAGCTCACTGGCGAGGAGGCTGTGGGTGCACAAGGGGCTGGGAGGGGACACAGCCAGGACAGCTGACCTCAACTGACCAAAGAGATGTTCTAGACCATATGGCATCATGCTCAGCAATAAAACTGGGCAAGTGTGAAGGTTGGTGGAGACTCCTGTTGTTCTGGGCACCTGTCAGTTTGTGGTGAGAATTTGTTCCCTTTTCCATCAATTCTGTTTCTGAACAGGGGGTGTGTTTGAGGTGGTTTTCTCATTCTTACCCTTACTATTCTCCCCCACATCCAACTTGGTGGGGGAGTGAGCAAGCAGTTGTGTGTTCCTTTGCTGTCTACTGTGGTTAAACCACACCACCATCTCAGGGCTTTGCTCCTTTGTGGTACCCTGCTTTCTCCCACAGACATGCTCTGCTGCTGCTGAGCATAACAGCCTCAGCAGTGGAAACTGACACAGGGAATACATTGGCACCTCCAGTAGCTCCTGTCTTCCTGCCCAGCTGCAGCAGCAGGTGTGCATGGGATGGTCACACATCAGCACATTTTTTGCACACAGACTCCAGGCTTGTTGAGGCTTTTGTTAACATCACGGTAAATAAGGATAATGCCCCTTCATCAGTGTTTTCCCCAGTCTTAACTTCCTTTCTTCTCCTCAACCACAAAAATGCCTGTTTTTCAGACGCTACTTTGTCACTAGTATTTTACAGGAGAAGAAAGAGAGATGGAAGAAATTGTTACTATTTTACAATTACCTTTACAATACAATAAGCATGTGCAAGGTGAAAGGCTGTGCAATGACTACAGTACAGTTGCAGCTGCTGCCTGCACCTCACATCCCCTGTACTCACACAGCCTGTTAGTTTGACTTTCAAAAAAATCCCACTTAAATAACTATGTACAAACCTACCTCCCTCATTTGCCAAGAAAAGAAAGCTCATTTGCTCTGCACAACACTGGATATCATTTAATTTAACCAACTTGAGAAGTTTGCTGCATTGCACTGACACCTGTGAGATGAACCAGTCATCTCTCACTAAAATATACACACAACGTGCACCTGCAAGTCCCCTTCTCTACTTTTTGGAACAAATGTATAGGACTAAAATATTGGCATCTTCCAGACTTTTTAGAAAGTCCTCAAATCCAAAAACTGAACTAATGAAATGATGCCTGGGTAGGAAGTTCTTTGGTGCTATTTCATTATTACTCTGATTCTTAAGAGGGACAACAGGAGTTCCAGCTTGCACTAATTGGGTAAATGATTTTAACAGGAGTGATGCCTGTACACTCAAAACTATTGCAAACTATTGTCACTGAGCCTAGCCAGGCACTGGATGGTTTGCTGTCTGTTTAATTGATTGAGCCACTTTTCAACTGGTACCTAAATAAGGAATAGTTCCACATGACATTATTATTATTATTTCTCTAAGTGTCCTTTTAATTCCTCTGCTTTACTGCCCTGTGAGTGCTCAGCCCTCCTCACCACTCAAAAAAATAAATGCCTGGAGAGCAAACAAGTTGCTGGATTTTGTGCTGACTGCCAGAGGATCCAAAGACCATGGCAGAAGTGCTCTCTGGCATCTTTATCTTCACATGAGGGCTTTTCATTCCTCCTCAGCATGCACAGGGGTGCACCCAACAACATTCCCCCTTCAAGAGCAGACACTCTGTCTCCGGTAGCTGCTGGGAAAGCACAGACAGCCCTGTTTAAGCCCCTGCCTCCAGTTCTGCCATCTTCCCTCGCCCTTGATCCTGCCTGCCGGGGCCTCTTGCCCCAGGAAAAGGAAGAGAAAAGGAGAAGGGTCACAAAGGACATGTTCAGGCAACAAGACAACCCTGCTAGCATGCCTCAGCCTGGGCTGAGCCTTCCTGCCTGTCCTAAGCCTGGGCAGTCACCAGTCATTCACTTTCACTTACAGTCACTGTACATGTCTTCTGCTGCCCTGCCTCCAGCCATGGTTAGCCAAGTTCTCAGTCTTTGGGCAAAAGATGTGACAGAATGCATTAGATTTCAATATAAAGGACTCTTGATGGAGTTTACTGTGAAACTTTAAAAAGTTTTTGGAGGAAAAGCTATGCAATCAAAAGAACCAACTTCTTATAACATTGAATATCTTCAATTTATCATTGGCCTTGGAAATATTTTTTAGATCTGAGCTTAAAAAATGTAGATCTTTCAAGAAAAATACGTTTTATTTTATTTTTTGTTTATATCTGAGTTTTATTTAAACAGGAACTTACATTAATGGTTTTGCTTTGAAATGCTAGGTAGCTCTCAGTTTAGAAGTGCAAAATAATTTAAAGAAGCATTGTTATATACATAACAATACAATATTTTAATAGTATTTAGTTCAATTCAACAGCAAAAATTAAATCTAAAATCCAAATGAGATGCATAAATCTGCAACTGCCACACTTTAAGCTCCAGGTCAGTATGCAGAATTCTGCGCAATCAGGAATATCTAAGACCAGAAAACAGAGCATTTTTCTCTTCAAGTTTTGATATCATAAGGAAAGCAAATGATTTAACAAATGTGCTAGATTTTGCTCTTCCTTGCACTGGTGAAAATCTAGAGTAACCTGAAATTAGTTTCATCATCCAGGAGTTTCAATGCAGCTGAAAGCAGAATGTTACCTTGTCTCACCACTGAGATCTTTTAGCATTTTTGTACTGGTCTGTTTTTCAAGCATGCATTTTTTTCCTTTTTGTTTACAAAAGAAATTTCAGTAACACAATTGTTGAACTTTCTTTGCCTATTACCACTATTGGTATGTGCACTCTACCAAAAGTAACAAGTTTAGACAAGGATAGAGGAGCAGAAGGATAATTTTGCTTTTCCCCACAAAAATAACAAAAATATTTAAGAACAAGAGAAGATTGCTGGGAACTAAAAACCTGACTTCCTCCCCTGTTGTGAGAACTACAAACCTCTCCAACTATGACTGAGAGGTCTAGGCCAGAGCCTGTAGTGATGACAAGTTAGTGAACAAGAAGGGAATGAGCTTATGAAGTACAAAAGTAATTCTCTGTAATGGTTTTGAGTCTAGGCCTTCCTTCCTGGCAACCAGGAAGGAAGGAAAGAAGTATTCCATCCTATTCCTTTACGTAATCAAACATATAAATAGACAGAGAAAGAAGCCTCTTCCTCTCTTCCCTTCCGGCGAGGTTTGGAGACAGCAGACTGCCGCAGCCAGTCTCGCTCATGTGGGGGAGCTGAGGCCTGGCCGGGCCTACGGGGCCTGTTGTTTCTGCCGATCTGGGGTCTGGTAGCGTGGCAGCGGCATTTGGTGTGACTGTGCTATCTCAAGGAAAGTATTAAGATTTTCTTTGGCTAGTTCTTTATTGAGTGTGTATACCTGGTTTTGGTTTTTTCTGGTTTGTCCCTTTTTCCCTTCCCCTTTTCTGTTTTTGGGTGTTGGGGGTTTCTGTCTTATATGTGTATAGTTTTTGTAATTGTATATAAATGTAATTTAAATGTAAATATATTTATATATTGCTTTAGCTTTCTCTTATTTCAGTTCTCTTGGTTTTTTTTTCTTTTCCCTTGGTTTTGAGGGGGGAGCTCTTGCGGTGGGGTTTGGAGACCTGGCAGGGAGCCAACTCTAAACCACCGCATTCTCACAGTGTATTTTTCAAGCTGTACACAGCACACTTAATAAATAGCTGATCCAAGTGAGAATGCTTCAGGAGATGTTGCCTTTCTAAGCACAAGAATGCCAGGTATCTTCACCATACCTCATGCTCCGTATTTGTTCAACATCATTACACCTTCAACATGAGATTTTCCTCTGTCCCACCAAGCACTCTCCTGAAATTATCTATATCCTTTACTTTACACCACTTGCCATTATCAGCAATCCAGACCCCAAAGTCCATCTATCAGCCTGTTGCTCAGGCTGTACCTCTGTCCATAGGTGTTTTCCATCCAGCCTATTTTTCCTAGACAAGACAGAGATGCAAGTTCAAGCAGCAAACACTGTTCAAACAGCAAGAATTTGCCTTGTCTGTGTCCATGTTTCCTGCTGGGTCAAGTAATGTTTGAGAGACTTCTGTAGTGTCTAGGCTACCCTAAAGCATGGTGATGACCAAAGAGACAGATTTGTGTACAGAAACAGATCCACAACCTCCTAATTTCCTTAGTGGTTTTTGATATTGACACTTTGTCGTACACTTAAGGTATTTTTAGCAAAGGAATAAATATAAATAATGTTCCTGCATAATTAAGTTCCCATTTTGGCTGCATTTAAGTTAGTTGTTGCAGTTGCATTCTACTTTCAACAAGTGAGCTGCTACCGTAAATTCTTTTGTTTGCTTGCCTATGGACTGGAATGAAAAACAATAGCTTAAAGAGATTAAATTCTGGTTTTGGTGACAGAATTCTGAAATAAGCCAAGATCAGAATGTAATCTGTGGATTGTTTTTTATTTTATTTAAATAACATCCGACTGCAATTTCACTCAACTCTATTGATGTAGAAAAGCCACCTTTTAAATGAGCAGTCAAATAGATTGCTCTCATATCAGCTTTATTTTATGAGAGAAATGGTGTAATAGTACCCAGCTGCTTTCTCTCATTACCTCTCTTTTACACATGACCCTTATCAGGACTAGTCATGTGCACCACAGCTACTGTCTAAAGCCTGTACCTGCTGTAACAGCTAATAAAAGACATCACTGCAGTCACTTGTTTGGTGTTCAGGCTCAGGAGACAAGAAATAGGTGAATTCTACATTGCTCTGGTTAGTGAAAGGCAGGATCTGTTAACTAGCACTTGTTCTGATTATACTGTGCTTAGCTTCATTCTTTTAACTCTTAGTCACTGACAACCTTCCAGTTATTAGTCTCTCAGGCAGCACTGTGCCACTTATTGAGCCATCTGTCCTCCCAGTTTTTCCCTTAAAATTTTCAGCCCATCACCATAGCGCATCTATCTCTCTGAGAAAATTTACTTCTCTCCAATCTACCTGTGAATTTTGTTAACAGTACCCATGGAAAAAATTATACAGCAGTAAACTTTGTAATCTTAAATAGTTCTTGATATGTACAAAAGCTTACAATACATCAGTCCCATCTGCACTGTGTAGACACCTAGAACACTCAACACTTACTTTCCAGCCAGACTATACCCTTTTTCATTCGTGGCTTACTCTCTTTCTTTCTCATCTCTGTAATGGTTCACTTCTGGTCTCCTATACATGGATTTTTTATAACTCTTGCAGATATAACCCTTGCACAGTGGCTAAGCTTGTTTCCCAAAATCACCCTAATCTGCAATTGAAACCTGGTCATTTTCATAGCAAAACTTAGACACTCAAAAATAGTTTCAAGTCCCCAGCTTCAGAAATAGAAAAAAAACCCCTGTAATGTTTGTTTTCTTCCACACTGCTACCTGAAAGTCTGCAAGTTTAAAATTACATTGAATTCACTTGTACTTAATGTCAAGCAAATACCTGTAAGATCTTCCCAGGTGCTGTCTGCAGAAAAAAAATCTGCAGAGTGTCATCATTTATTAAACTCTGTTTACTAATTCAGCAATAGTAGTGTTCAGATTCTTACTTCCTACATTGAAATAAGTGAATAGATTTACTCTCAGCTATACCACTTTAACTCAAATCACAAAGCCTGACTGAATATGTAGCATCTCAGGAGAATCTATAACACACAAAAAAACCCAGAAGATGAGCTGGCTTTCCTCCAAGAGGAAAGCTAAGTGCCAAAAGAACAGGCAATATTAGCAGTATTAACATGTTTATTGCTTTCCTATTATTATTATTATTATTATTAGCTCTGCCCAGAACATGCTGGGTATACCTAAGGAAAAGCTGCTACACAAAAATCAGTTCTCTCTGAGTCTGGATCTACCTCTTTTTCACTTTTAGAACCAATACTGCTAAAAGACACTTTGGGCTGCTATATTTGCTTGCATAAGATCCAAGGGAACATCTGCTAACTAAGGGTAACCCCAACATGGCAGAGCCTCCTTGTTTATAGACCCCCATAATCCTGTCTCGGGGAGAGGCCTGAAACTGAGTCTCCTGATCCTACACTTCTAACACTAACACCATCTCAGGTGAGGGCCACTTTCTGTGCTTTGCTAGGCAAAGCAAGGTGCCTAGACCCTACTGAAGGACCCAGGTACAGGTAATTCATCAGATGAATCATGAAGAATAGTGGAAAGGAGAAATGACTCACCGATGTTGGGATCTACAGAGCACTGCCAGCCCTCAAAGACTTTCATACACCATGAGGCGTCCATAGCCTTCATCACCCAACTCAGTTCCATGTATCAGAGATAATGAACTCTGGAGGACCTGAGCAATGCACTCAAACAATTGCACTAATCACTTTTCAATACAATTGCTTGAAGAGGAAAATCAACAGTTGTGTTTTACTCAAGGAGACATTAGAAGCAAAGAAGAACATGGAGTAAGACTAATTAGAAGCCAGACCGGTCCAACTATGCAGCAGAAGGGGCCGCATGTCTCTAGAGCACAGCCTCTGCTGACTACCCCAGCAAGTCACTCTAAACTTACTTAAAATCATGTGAGTAAAACCATTTAGTAATTTCATTTAATTATTTATAATAAAAAGTACTATTATATTCTATTCAAAAACTGTGTTCACAGCTTCTGAAAACATGCTGTTATTTCATCCTCACAGAGAAGTTTTACTCATAATGTAATAAAACGATCAGAGACTTTTGAAGACTCTGTAATGGTTTAAAAAAAGAAACTTCAAAATTATCTGAAGTTGAACTGGGATAATCTTTGGAATTAAAATTCCTAATTACGCCATTAGATAATTTAAGACCATTCAAGAAGACCTATTGTTACCTACTGTGCATACAGCATAAAAGTGGATTTCAGCTGAAAAGCAAAACCATCAAATTCAGATAGAAAAGGACTGCCCTGTGACAGGGGTACAGCCTTCCTCTACAGTGTGAGCCAAGGCAGAGAAAGGTTCCCCATACCAGTCTATAAATATGCTTTTAATCACAGACATCATGGTGGCAATAAGATTTGAGATGTTAAATTAGTCTGTCTGCCACCCAGCCCTTCTTTCCTCCCAGACATCCCTCAAGGAGTCTTAGTTAGACAACTCTGCAGGAAATCACAAAAGATGATCTAATCTTTCATGGCTATGTGACAATAATAACTTTCAGTCATTCAGAATATGGACTTGAACAGATCTGCAAACGAAGTCCTCTGTACTCCTTAAATTCTCTAAAGCACCTACACCCCCAACCTTTTTTAACAGGGTGTGTACTTTCACCACCTAAACTCAGTGTAGCAGCTATCATATTCAGTGGAAGGAAACAGGCTACTCAAGAGGGTGATTTCTGAGGAGTAACATCTGATTTACACCAGGTCACAGGAAGAAGCATTTAGACTTTAAATGCTATACTCCAAGCCTATGTTGTAACCATTCAACTAAAGCTCTTACAAAAGGTGACTTGTTACCCCGTGTTGTTGCTCAGTAAAGTCAGTGGGGAAATTCTGCATCTGTTAAAGGCAATAAAATTTCCCTGCAGCACAGACAGCCTTTTACTTGGTTAGCTGTGAAACGGTTCATGGTTAGAAAGTTTTCTAGCCTCAAAATCTGAAAACTAGGGTTCGGGACAGGCACAGAAGCCACATATCCATTACTACTGCAGATGATTCAATAAAACAGCAGGAGAACACATATTTGTAAATATTTTTCCAAATAATAATAGAAAATCCTTACGAGGGATTCCAAACCTTTTCATGCCTAAGTGGTATAAATATGAAGTAATTCCACTGGAATTCACAGTGCTCCAGGGCTGTAAAATCTGTATCAGTGATCAGAGACTCAAATTTATTCATTTTTTGGCATATCTACTAACTTTATGTATTTGACTAAACTGCTAGGTGTAATTTAACCAACAGAATAAGCATTATTTGAATTTGTAGACTAAATGATTGCATGTCCTGGGAAATATTTCTAGCAGGTGCACTTTCATCTAAAACAGATTTAGCTGGGGCATCGTTGCTAAGATTGTTGGCACCTGGCTCTTTATCGTATAACAATCTAGGAAGAGTTGTGGCAAAAGAACAAATCAGTTTTGGAGCAGACAATGTGCATTAGGCTCTGGGTAAGTGTAAACCCAACATATCCAGCTGCATTCTAGGCATTAAAGAGTTATATATACCCACTGGAAGTGTACCAGGGTTCTGGCAGAAGTTCAAGAATCTCTGAACTTATATAAGCCCCAGAAGATGCTTAATAACCAAAGTGGGGGGGAAAAAGGTTTAGCATATCAGCCATTTTTTGTTCTTATAAAACAAAGCTTTTTTTTAAGCAATGAAACTGAATTTTCACTATGAAAGCCCTAAATTACCTTTCAAAGACAAAACTTGCAGAAAACCCTCTCTGGAACAATCTCAGGAAGAAATGATCTAAAAGGCAAAACAGAAATTTAATGAATAACACAAAGAGAAAAATATATATGGATATAACATCAAATGTATTCAAGAAGGGACATAACCTCAAGAGTCATTCAGACTGTGAAACTTACAGCAGACAGAAGAGAATTAAATACAAGAGAATGCAATAATTAATTTGTGCATCCAGTAAGTTCACGGCTACTTTATTGGCATAAAGTCTCTGTTCACAGTACATCAACTGAAATGAACACATTCTGTGTGGAAAACTCACGACACTTGCAATACCTTCTTTATTTCACAGAAGTTAGAAAAGCTGATGCAGCACAGCTTCTGATATGAATTACTCTCTTTTGTCTTTGTATTATTCCACAGACTCAAGGGGCTTTGAAAGCAGAAGCAGCTCTTGCTGCTAAAATGGTAAATCTGCATAGTGGGCACTACATATCCGAGATAGAGACAGACTAATTTCACAAGATACATCCACAACTATACAAAGCCAAGCACTGTTTTGTAGCAGATCTCACCAATCTCTTACTCAAACATACTGTGGGCCTGGCAGTGGTCACCCGTAGGGACTCGTGGATTCAGCTCCTTTAAGTTCAAATTGTTCACTGTTTCTTTCTTCTGGATCTTTTAACTTTCTCCCCATTTCTTTTTTTGAGGCTTGTTTTAGCATTGCTTTTCCTCTCTCAGCTGTTACGTTACTTTCTCTGTCTTTCTGAGGACATTTTCCCCAGATTTCCTATTCTGTTCCCTGTGTCACCTATCAGCACATGCCAGAAGATATGCCTGACTTTGCAAGAGAGAAGCACTCAAGAATAAAGTTATAATGCTAACTGCAACCCATGTCAACTACCACCTGTTTGTCCCACCTTCTTTGAAGGCCCTCCTGTAATAAATCAGACCATTATCAGTACCAAGGACTGGCATGGCATGTGTCGGTGCCATTTAAGGCTTACTGAGTGATGCCCAGTAATGCAGCCAACACTTCTTGGTGGCCAAGACAAAGGCATTTAAGATTCCAGTAGCTGGAGGTGACCAGCCACACGAAACCCACACCATTGATATTCTTCTTTCTTCTAATTCATTCCAGTATCTGCCACTGTGATAAACAACTATCAAGGCCAGTCTGGCTGCTTTCATAGTATTTCTAATAGTTATTGAAAATTTGTATGTTGAATACTTTTTTTACATGAGGTACTTTCATATTAGTTGCATTTGGGACTATATTCTGATACCGGGTACAGTATTTAATGACTTATCAACTGGAAAACACAGGTGGTTTATACAAAAAAAAGGACAGCATCCAATAACTGCTACATTGGAGTCAGTAAGCACAGTTTGATTGGAATTGTTATTAATTAAATCGGATTCACATATTGTTCTGAAACACACATGTCCTTTTCACACACATCCTTTTCATACATAAGCTAATGCTGTTTTCTTATACTTCAACAGAGTGTTCTTAAAATGACACACCAGGCAATCACTTAACTGAAAACTTGATCCTGGATAAAAGTGAATAGTTTCCATCAAGTCTGTATTTGCCACTCTTTATCCACAGCTGAATCCAACACAGTCCTTGTGATCTCAGTGGGGAAGACTGTCTCCATCTCAACACATCTGCTGCAAGTGCTGTATGCAACCAAGAACAAGGGAGTTTGTTTTGTCGGGGGTTTTTTGCTGCAATACTTTCAACAACATTAGATCTTTTCATTTGTGGGTTTGTTTTGGTTTTTTTTCCAAACAGGCAACATATCTCCTATGAATCACTGTTCCAGCACTATGGCTTGGCTTTTGTTCAGTTAGGAGGACTTAGAGATCTTGTACAACACTGTAGGGTCTCTGGCATTCATGCTACTGACTTGCCTGAGTTCCCTGTTTCCTGCTCCTCTCAGTGCCATGGCCAGCAAGTAGGATCAAACAGATTCCATATATGAAGCAGCTGTGAAGCCAAGTCAACTATCCTGTGTCTAGGGTAGAAAGAAAAGATATGTCATGTAGCCTGAATGTTAAATAATGAATAAGTTCAAGCAACTTTTTTGATTTTACTTTCATATTTCCAGTATCTTTTCATGGAGCTTTCAGACCTTGACCAATGTGTGCCACTCTTTATCTGTCTTTTATTTAAATATGTGCTGGATTCTGACTGCTTTGTCAGAGCGTCTTTCCAACTGGGGACTGTTACCTCTCCCGCTAAACTTCTCACAGATGTGTAAGTTTAGTCATGTGCATTGTATACTCAGTGCTATACATCTACCAGCAACTAAAGGAAACCCTGAAACCACAAATATGAAAGTACTTTTGCTCAAACAAGGTCAGAGATGCTGTGAGGTTTATCATTTTCTCTGTTCCCATCAGGCTAAATTTTCATTTTTCTGCAAAATGAGAGTCAGCTTCATGATCTTTTCATGCATTTGAATTTGAAAAATAGAACATTTTTTTCTGGTCTGTCTTCTCCATTTTAGATTTAGCTGGTGGGGCTGGCCGAGTTGACATTTCTAAGCCTCATCTCCTGAAGTCTCAGCATGTGTTTTTTAACTTTGGTTCTCTGTTACTCAGTCTCCAATATTTCATTTTACCAGGTGCAACACGCATGTTACTTTATCCATCTTTTGAACATTTGCTTCTAATGTATGCCTGGCTACCTGGTGGTGTGTAGCTGACACTGTCTTTAACATGCCTTGAATCCATCTGTCTGTTGGACCATATGTTTGTAATTTATTTGGCAGCCACACTTCTAATCACAAATGGAGCATCCTCAAGTCTCTCCTATTCCAGGAGACGCGGTAGTTCCTCATTCCAGCATTAGGATTATTGGGAGGTTCATTTCTCAGGCTTTCCCTTGACACTTTACAACTTCTTTCAGAGCCATCTTCAGCATTCAGCAGTTCTCCCTGGGGATGTCCAGCAATGCAAAGCCTTTATGTAAATCCTAATGCCAGACACAATCATTTATAATTTTTCTGTGACATACAGGCCCAAGTCATAGCCAGATTCTGTCAGAGAAACATCTGTCCTATCAGTGTCTGAGCAGCTGTGCTGGCTCTCTTCCTGTGAGTTGGAAATACTTCAGTCAATTGGTGAAACTCTTATAAGTTTAGGATAAGAAGGGTCCATTTCACAACCTACTTCATAGTCTAGACAATCTCTAGTGAGTTTACTACTTCTGTATGTGACTGGTGGTCATATAAGTTATGTTCCTAACACACACCTCTACATCTTCTCTAATCTTAGACCATTGTGCACCACTCTTTAATCTTGTCAAGACTTTTTTTATTCCTGAATTTCTCCAATGCTATCAACCTGATTTGTGTGTGTTCAGTTTTTATCTAAGTCCATAGACTTGTAACACTGTACCAACTTTCCATCTCAAATTTTCCTCTTCTTCCACTAAATCAGAAAGGATTAGATCTGGTGCTTGCAATACTATCTTACTATCTTGTCTAAACTCTCTGTCCTTCTTACCTGAGATGGTGGAGAAAGCCATCTTTTAAAGACTTAAAGCCTTCCATGCTGAAGCTAAAGGAGGTGTACTCTCTGCTGATTGCATGTTCCTTTCCTCCAGATCAAGAGCCAGTTCCTCACCGCACAGTCTGAAACAGGATCCTAGCAGTGGCTGATCCACCAAGGTGTCTTAATGCTGCCACCTGTCAGCTTGAGCATAAAGTGACCACAACTTTCCCTGGATCATTTTGCTAGTACTTACTTTTTCCATCGCATACCCCACATGAGCTATTCCCCCTCCATTGTAATGGAGGCCCACCGACAAACCAACCAACATACCCTCTAGTTTTTTAGCTCTGTTACTTTAACAGCATCATCCAAAAAGAGTGGTTTCTGTGGGTTTGGTTTAGGCAGAAAGCCCTCATGACCTTCAACTGCTTTTGCTTCATCTATTACCAAATCAAAGACAGAGACAGAGATGGAGACAGATTCTGACCTCTTCTTTCCACCCCTTTGTTCAGCTGAGGAAGTGGCCACTTCGTTAGCCCAGGGTTTGACACATGACTCTTATCAGCCTTTCCTGACAGCAGATGCATCACCAGGTGTGTCACAAGTATGCCTCCTGACATGTCATAGTGAATGAGTGGGAGGAATATACATTTGAAACATGAATTCCTAACTTCCAGTTATTTTCAATCTATTTTGCGGTAATGTATGAGGAGATAACTATTCCTATTTCAAAACAAAGTTATCTTGGCACTTGCACCTTCCTTACTTTCAGAGGAGGAAACTATGATCCTTCAGACCTCTATCCCTCTGTGGAAGCTTATCTTTCTCACTTCACTTAACCTTCAAGCCCACCCAGAAATGCCAAATCTGATGCCGAAGTGATAAATGTGTGTAGTGGACAGACAACAGCTGAGATTAAAAAGTCCATCTTCTAACAGACAAGCTTTACTGCAACATATACAACTATGCAGACCTAAGCAGTAATATGTAACCTCTGTTAATAAACTCTCACCAGTCTGTTGGCCAGATGTCCTGGGAGTCTTGAGAATCCGGAGATGGTCTACAGCAGAGATCATGCACATTCACTCCTTTAAGTTCAAAGCATTCACAAGTTCAAAGCATTCACAAGTTCTCTGTTCTGGTCACCTTTTACAATTTTTTTCTAGTGCATTGTTTAAAGCTGGTAATGCCTCTGCTTACCTCAGCAGAGTCACTTTTCCTCCCTCAGTGGCTGCATTCCTTTCTTTATCTTTCTAAGGAGGCTTTTTTTGGCTTTCCTTATCTTCTGTTTTCTTATGGAGTCTAAGATAATGCAATGGCAACAGCTATTCTTCTTCCTTAAGAAAGGGGGAGGAATGTTCAATCATAAATTAATTATGTTAGCTGTTGCTTGTGCTGGCTACTCTTTACTTCTTCAGTACTTCAATAGATATCAATACCTTTTAAAATCTAAGCAAATTGTGGCTATGAATTCTGTTTATCTGTTTTTCTGTTGAAGTATTTAAAATATTTTTGTTCTACAGATGCAAGATTTTCCTTTATATAACCATCATTCATGTTCTGTCATATCATGTCATCTGGATGCTTTATACTATTTCTATCTAGCATTTCATCCAGTTCAACTATTATAAGTTTTATTGATTTTTTCTAGGATCATCCCCAAATTTGCTACTTTTCTGTTTCCTTGTGTGGTGGCTTTAATCAGTGGTAGTTTCAATCCAAGTTGTGTCAATGCTGGAAGTTTTAACCAATATCCTCATTACTGGGTATCTTTGCATTTCCTAGATGTTCTTTCACAGAGTCCTGGAGGTATTTTACCTCTTTCTTTGAAAAATTGTTCCTTGGCATAATTCCATCTTTATCTGACACAAGTAAACTCAATGTAGTGAACATCCTGACACCTTCTGAAGTGGGGACCTATATAAAGAAATTATTCAGGTTTTTGATAGCTTGTGCATCTGTCATAACCATTTGTTTAATTCTTCGAAAGCTGGAAAAAAGATGACTCCCTTTATAGGTTTGCTGTTCCTAACATACTTAAAAGTTTCTTGTTTGTGCTAAAGCCACTGCAGAGTGATTCACTATATCCCATTTAATGAGGGGAAAAAATGAGTCTTTAATTAGTATGTACTCCAGACAACACAATGAAACAATTCAAATATGTAAACATATGTTTAAAAACATGGAAAAAAGAACATGACTAGGAACAGTCGGCATGGATTTACCACAGGCAAATTCTGCCTGACTAACATCATAGCTTTGTATGACGAAATGATTGGCACAGTGGGTAAGAAGAAAGCA